GAGGTAAAATTGGTGTCATTGCACCCAAGTTACCAACTGATATACTGGCAGTTTACTATGGCAGAAAACGATAACAAAAGGCTTCTTAAATGTAACTGTCAACAATTTGCATAAATAATATATCTCTATACATAGCACAATGTGGTCAAAGCTGCACATTGTCACAGAAAAGGATGTGTAGAAATAAAAGAGAGGTTGAACTGGTGTCACTGCTGATATACAGCTGATCACAACTTGCCAAAAATAAGGAGCCATTACTTAAAGTGTAGCCATCATCGACCCAGCTTGCATGTATATTTAAATAATAAGTTCCTAAATCAAAAATCGTAATAGCAACAGGCAGTCAAAACGGCAAAATCTGTTCCTAAAGACTGCAGAAAAAAATGTTGAGAAATTAGAGAGGGCATAGAGATAAAAGCGGTGTCACTGCACCCTGGATACCAGCAGACAGACTGGCAGCTGCTCAGCAACGACTTCCATGGAGAACAAGAGAGCAGAAAAGATCCCAGCCTGACACAATATTTAAAGGGTAACTATCAAGATCGCACTTACAGTCTCATAAATAAGTGCATAAAACAGTACATGGTAATAGAAGAATAAAGTGATCATTTATTTATAAATACATATATGTATTATTATTATTATTAGTAGTAGTAGTAGTAGTAGCAGCAGAAGCAGCAGCAGTAGTAGTAGTAGTAGTAATAATAATAATAATAATACATGACAATAATAACTAAAACATGAATTAAAAAAATCCAGAGATGATTAGAATGTGTATAGGTTACAAAGAGCTCTGGATTACTAGTACTATTAACATTATTATTATTATCAGTGTTATGCAAGACCACAACTCCTCAGGAGCTTCCACTGGCAGAGCTGCTCAGATCTGCTGATTCGCAGCTGGCGAATAGAATAAACCTGTGCGTGGAAAACCATCTATTCACCGAACTTGATTACCTTTATGATTTGTAATCGATCCTATTTCCACGGGTAGCACTTTTTTTTTTTAGCCTGCACAGGGTGAACTCACTTTAGTGGATTAATTTGACTCATGTTCTGCTTTGTCTATTTGACCTTTCTTAAATTTTACTATACATCAATTAGAATTATTATGATTACTTACATAAAGATATGTTTATGTTGTGCTTTAACCACCTTGAAAAGATCTTAATATAAGGGCATACAAGGACATAAATAGAGATGCCCTAAATTTTAATTAAATGTGGCACTATATGGGAAGGACTGATCTGGAAGATATGGACACGTTAAAGACTAAGATATTTCTAGTGGTGACCAATCAGGTCTTTATTCACTTTTTAAATTCTGGTTGCTTTTATAAATAAAGAAAAAAAAAAAAAACTAAATTTTGCTTTGTTAGCCTATGATGAATACATTTGTTAAATTTTGAATACTTATAGGATGGATATATATATATATAAGGTTGAAAAAAAGACATGCCTCCCTCTCTCTATTATATATATATATATATATATATATATATATATATATATATATATATAAATGAAAAAAATATAGTGAGTATATAATGAAAAAAAAATGTTTTTCAACCATAGCTATCTATAGTATATATATATATATATATATATATATATATATATATATATATATTTACATATCTATATAAAGCTATAGATATACAGGAAAATATGTAACATATATATATATTTATATATATATATATATATATATATATATATATATATAGTTAGATAGCTAATGTTTTCAACATTAGCTATTTAACTATATACACACACATACACACATATGTAACACACACACACGTAACACACACATGCATATGTAGAACACACACACATATGTAACACACACACATATATATATAATAATATGTGTAATATTTTTTTCAACCTTAGTTAAATATAAAATATATATGATGTTTTGTTAACCTTAGCTAATATATATATATATATATATATATATATATATATATATATATAGCTCCTGTGAGCAAATATTTAACAATGTCCCAATATACAGGAGTATAAATTCCTTACTTATTTGTAGTGTCCCCACCATGTCTATTACATGTGTCCCCCTCCTGCAGACTTTATAACTAGTTCACACTTTCTCCTGTCCTGTGTCACAGAGGAAGGTTTGGCCAATAAATTAGCAATTTTGCTACAAAGAGTGTAAAAAAAAGCTAATGATCTAAGCAGTCCCAGCAGCAGTAGTCCTGGTCAGTGAGCAGAGCTCAGGAATCTTTCTTCCACATAGCTGAGACACAGAGGAACAAACCCAGACAGTCCCCTCCAAGGCCTGACTGCCAATGTGGTGTTAATAAAAGAGGAAACCATTAGAGGGATCTACAAACATTCCCAATTTGTAATCTAATTCTCCAGTGTGAGGGCCTTTTCTAACCATCATTGCAGGAAATGGTAATCTGTATATTTCTCCAGGAGGCTGGGTGTCTTTAGAGGAAAGTAGGATTCAGTGTAAACAGGACTTTCTCTAATGAAGCAATTAATAGGCATTGCCTAATGGAGAGGGCCCGGTTGGGCAGAGGCATGGGTTTAGTTAGGCAGAGGGGGCACTTTTTGTCCTGGGCACTTGTCTATGAGGTCTTCTGATGGTAAGTAAGGGCTCCTAGCCTGTCCTATCCCCTGCTTGGATTAGGAAGGAAGAAAATAAGCAGAAAATGAGTCTCTAGGTGAACAGCAATTCTCTCCTTCTGTTCAGAGTATGCCCAGAGGTTGTACTTTGTGCCTAAGAATGAAACCAATTATCTGACATTTGAACTTCCTGTCTGGGTAAATTTAGGCTGATTGCACAAACTCAAGAAGTGAAACTTTTCCTTAATTTCCAGCAGGCATTACGCTGATGACAAATTCCTGTTTTTACCAAAAGTGAAATGCTTTTTCTCCTTCAGACCCAGGCTGTACGGGATGGCCTATTTATTCTCTCATTTATTAAAGATGGACATAACTGTGCAATTAGCTGGTTACCCTGAACTGGCAGGGCATTTATACTGTCAGCTGTGCCCGCTGCTACTCTCACCCACCCCACCACTGGAATCTCCAAGCTGCAATTATAGGAAGCATTTTATAAAGTCATTTTATTGGTGCTGACATGGGGCAATCATGGCTGCTAAATAATGGAACACACTGCTGCTCTATTACAGAGGACTGATACTTGTGATACAAAGGTGTTACTTCTATCACATTTATTAAATACCTGTCCTGGGATCAGCTTGATGTTTACTGATAGCCTCATAAAATTCAGAATCCCTGCCACTAACTTTTTAAATGTATCTTTGTTTACCCTTCCTTTTGTTACTTTATGTATAACAGATATATTATTGTATTTTGGGTATTAAGGTTTATAGCTCACTAAGAACCCATGATCACAGGCATTGCCTGCACAGTCCACACATGCTTTTAGAAATGAATACCCAGCTATATTTTAGATGTTTGTATTTACATAAGTTACTTACAGAGATATGGAATGTAGAAAATTAATAAAGTAACTGTCACCTTATTATTTAAAGCAAATAAATGTGCTTAACGTTGTATTCTTTTAGATTGTAAGCTCTATGGAGCAGGGCCCTCTGATTCCTCCTGTAATTAATTGTATTGTAACTATACTGTCTGTCCTCTTGTTGTGAAGCACTAAGCAAACTGTTGGCACTATATAAATAGTGTATAATAATATTAATAACAAAGCAAGAACCTTCTTAGTAATATAGATAGATAGATAGATAGATAGATAGATAGATAGATAGATAGATAGATAGATAGATAGATAGATATGCCTACATACATATATATTACATAAAGCAGCTGGTTTACAAGACCTTATCAACTTATTTAGTAAATCAACCATCATTTTTAGATATAGCCCAATATAAAAAATACTTCTTTAGGGCTTGTTCACATCATGCTGCAGAGACATCAGTTTTGTTTAACGCGTTCTGCAAGGCCACAACAAAATCAATTGTTCTCTATGTGCCCTGTGCACACCACAACACTAGAATCACGTGCAGATTGTTTCTTCGCAAGAACTGGCAATGTGTATAAAAGTCATTGAAGAGTGCATGAAAACTGATGTAAATGGATGTCTCTGCAAGTGAAATCTGCACATCAGTTTCCATCAGTTTTACTGCATGTACGGTGTGAAAGAGGCCTTAGGACCAATTTGCACTCACTTGTGCTAAAATGTGTAGAAAATACATGTACATTCCATCCATTTTAACGCGCACTGACGTCCATTGGCCTACATTTTGATGTCTGTTGACATGCATGTGCAGCATTGTGGTGTGACTAGGACAGATTGGAAATCGTTTTTTCAGGTGCCCTTTTGTTGATCTGCATTTTACAGCATTGATCTGCATTTTACGTCATTTTTATATTGCTCTGTATATAAAAATGACAGTTGATTTACTGAATACGTTGAGAATTTTCACTTAAAAGCTGCATGAGTATTTATTGTAATTATCTCATCATGTGAGAAAATTCCAGTTCACTTTGAATATTCAAGTGCACATGCATTTTACATAACTGAATATAAATAAAGTGAATATTCACACATTTTGTGAGTAAAAAACTCAACTCCTTTAGCAAAGCAGCCTAATTGTGTGTGTGTTGTAATATATATTTGTTCTGTTATTATTTCTATTAAGATATCTATGTCTATCTATATACTTATTATATTTATATCTATCTAAGTTTGTATCTCACTATCTATATATATCTTTATAGACATATAAAGAAAAAATATATATATATATATATATATATAATTGGGATATTATATTATTATGCTGTACACATAGAGGGAGGATTACTAAAACTGGTGCATTCAGAATCTGGTGCAGCTGTGTGTGATAGCCAATCATCTTTTAGCTTCAGCTTGTTCAATTAAATTTTGACAATAATACCTGGAAGCTGATTGGTTTGTCATCAGGTTTAGTACATAACCCCCATATAATGAAGTGACTGGGGGTGACTGGTGGGGTCTCTTACCTTGATCTGTGATGGACCTAATCCCCAGGATGTCAGTGACAGAGTGGGAGGAAGGCCATGTCCTGGGCAGAGCCATGCTGCTGGGTATGGAGTGCATTCCAGGGGGTGTAGGGACCTTGGCCCCAGCAGCGATGGGGTTGGGGTAGGGGTAGATGTGGTTGTAGGGAAGCGCGGAGGCGGAGCTAGCATGGTGGTGCTGTTTATGGTTGTGCTCATAGTGACTTTGCTGGGCCAGGTTGCCGATCTTATTTCTCAGGATCCTGCTGATGGAACTGACCGATGGCACGTTGTATTTGTCGCACACCCCATCGGCCAGGAGCCGGTCCCTGATCTCCCAGGCGAAGATGCCGGGGTCCCTCTGTTTGTAGGTCCTGATGTGTTTGACCACCGTGGGGGGTGGTGACCCGGGGCTTGCTGCCCCCGATGGCCCCGGGGAGGATGGAGCCGGTCTCGTTGTAGCGGGCCAGGATCTTACTGACACATCCATGGGAGACCCGGAGCTGGCGGCTGATGTCACACGGCCGGATCCCTAGCTGGGCCAACTCCACGATCCGAAGCCGGATGGCATTGGGGAGAGGCCGCCCGTTCACGAACACCCCTCCGAGCTGGTTCACTTCACCGAAGGCAGGCTCTGTGGATGGAGACGACACCGATCAGACATCATGCTGCATACACTGTGCGATCTGATTGGACAATCTCCCACACTTTGGGATGTAACCATGCAATGGGCATCTTTCCCCTACATCGCTGATATAGATCTGAAGGGGATTGTGCGATCAGATTGTACAATCTCCTTCCATTGACAAAACTGTGGAATATAAAGACGTACCTATTCATCTTTGCAATATAAAACTGATGTGGATCGAAGGGAGAGTTTACAATCAGAGTGTACAAACTAACACAATCCATTCAGCTGCATCCTTGCACTGGTGGTAGGTTTGTACGATCAGATTGTACAGTGTATGGCCGCTAAATAAGGTGAAGCTGTGTCAAACGAGCTAAAAAAAAATCCTGTTTTTTTAGAAATTCCTCCTGCACTTGATTGGGCGCTTAGAATGGACACAGGGTCACCTGACCTCAACTCCTCTCAATACTCATCTACGTCCAAGGCATTTCAATATTCTAGCTTCCATCCCTGCATACTGGACACTAGCATGCAAGGATCTGCCTATATATATATATGTGTGTGTATTATGTATGTATGTATTATATATATGTATGTATGTGTGTGTATGTGTGTGTATTATGTATGTATGTATTATATATATGTATGTATGTATGTGTGTGTGTGTATTATGTATGTATGTTTTATATATATGTATGTATGTGTGTATGTGTGTGTATTATGTATGTATGTATTATATATTTTGTATGTATGTATGTGTGTGTGTGTGTATTATGTATGTATGTATTATATATATGTATGTATGTATGTATGTATGTGTGTGTATTATGTATGTTTGTATTATATATATGTATGTATGTGTGTATGTGTGTGTATTATGTATGTATGTATTATATATATGTATGTATGTATGTGTTTGTGTGTGTGTGTATTATGTATGTATGTATTATATATATATGTATGTATGTATGTATGTGTGTGTATTATGTATGTATGTATTATATATATGTATGTATGTGTATTATACATGTATATTTTATATATATGTGTGTGTATTATGTATGTATATATTATATATATGTATGTATGTGTGTGTGTGTGTATTATGTATGTATATATTAAATATATGTATGTATGTATGTGTATTATACATGTATATATTATATATGTATGTATGTGTGTATGTATGTATGCATGTGTATTATGCATGTATATATATGTATGTGTATATATATGTATGTATGTATGTGTGTGTATTATACATGTATATATATATGTATGTATGTATGGGTGTGTGTGTGTATTATACATGTATATAATGTATGTGTGTATGTATGTATGTGTGTGTATTATACATGTATATATATATGTATGTATGTGTGTGTATTATACATGTATATATATGTATGTATGTGTGTGTATTATACATGTATATATATGTATGTATGTATGTGTGTGTATTATACATGTATGTATGTATGTATGTATGTATGTGTGTGTATTATACATGTATATATATGTATGTATGTATGTGTGTGTATTATACATGTATATATATGTATGTATGTATGTATGTATGTATGTATGTGTATTATACATGTATATATATATGTATGTGTGTGTATTATACATGTATATATATGTATGTATGTGTGTGTATTATACATGTATATATATGTATGTATGTATGTGTATGTGTGTGTATTATACATGTATATAATATATATAGTAAATATGGCTGTAAACACACACTAGAGGCTGATTTACTAAAGCAGTTGCTAAGCTTCACCCAAGATCCAGATCCATTCACTCCACCTAGAGATCTCTTTACCTGATCTCTTAGTAATTCCCCCGATTGTCTGACATTGACTGTCACTAAGAATGAGGAAATATTCAGTTCCTGATCGAAAACTGCTGAACTCCAAGGAACAACTGCAGCCAGTACGTCAGCCAATCAGAGGCGAGTCTCCACTTTTCTCACTACACTAAAGTGTTGTTAGAGTCCATTGGATTGGTTGCTGTGTCTCAATGCATTGTGTCCATCATTGCTCTATGACTGCAAAGTCCTAATCTGCAGATGGATGGGGTGCCCGGAGTCACTCACCTTGCTGGCAGCGGAGGGGTTAAGCCCAGTCCTATCTGCTCAGTGACCCCAGGCAGCACTTTATGGCAGATCATTGTAATGGAACCTCCCAGTTATTACACCGCCTGCCTCCTGTTAATGATCCTCAACGTGCTTGTAGGAACAGGATCATGGACAGGACTGGTCTAGAAGGGAGACCCCAGCCCTCCCCCCAGCTGTGCCACTTACCCATCACTGAGCTCAGGGGGCTCGCTGGGTGTCCAGCAGTAGTCGGGGCTGAAAAGAAGCAGGCCAGGCTTAGTGGAGGCTTCCCAGCGCCGGCTGATAGCAGGGATCCGGGAATTAAAGGTGAGGACCTTCCTGACTTGGAGGAACTGTCTGTATTTCCCTCTAATACAACGTGGGCTGGCCAGGGCTGGTCTGGACTGTCATTCCGACAAGCCACGCCTCCCGGTGGGCGGGCCACGACAAAGGCGCCGCTCAATTGGGCGCCTGCGGTGACAGACAGGGGAGCAGTGAGAGTGCCAATGCCTTCCGAGGAATCCCTTCCAAGCATGCTCTGCACCTGGAGTGCGGATCACAGGAGGGGACACTCACCCCTGACAGGCGGTAAGTCCCCAAACTCTGCAAACGGGATTAACCCCTACCCTGCCACAGGACGATGACTCTGCCTCTGTGCTCACATTATACTGATTGGAATCCAATACTGTATACTACTGTACACTAGAATGCTGCAGTGATGGACGAAAATGGATTTTGCAAATATATGCTCATATATATAAAAATATACAAATAACATATATACAACATATATAAATAAACATACCTATATGTATATGCGTATATAATGTTATATATATATATTATATATATATATATATATATATATATATATATATTTACACACACGCACACACACATATATATATATGTATATGTTACGTGTGTCTACATTATATATGCATATATTATTTATATAGAAACGCATATATATATAATGTATATATGAGTACATTATATACTTATATGATTTATGATATACTTCAATATATATATATATATATATATATATATATATATATAAAATTTATTATTTTTTTAATTTTTGTTATATGTGCCTGTATATTGTATGCTTACTATATATATATATATATATATACACACACTGAGATTTACACAAGATCCAAGTGAGTTCACCGACGCCGTATAGCTTCGAACCTACAATGCTGGAGGAAAATGTATTTTGCAAAGATATCCATATATAAACATACATATATAATTTTTGATAGATATATGAATATACATATGTAGATAGATATAATAGATGTAAATTAAAATATATATATTGTATATATGTCTAGTGTATATGTGCGTATGTTGTATGTATATGGTATATTTATTATGTATGTATATAGTATAATCATATGAAAAATAATTACCTGTTTCCTTATCTACTATTCACATAATTTATTCTCAAGTCATTTGATAAATCACCCCATCTATCTATCTATCTATCTATCTATCTATCTATCTATCTATGTATGTATCTATCTATCTATCTATCTATCTATCTATCTAGACAAATCGCCCAAACATAAACGCACGAAAAAATAAACGTTTGTCACTTTATTGCAAAAAGAATGCATTTTGTTAGTTATAGTAATAACAGTGGAAGAAAAATCCATTTGCAATATTATTGCTTATTTGCTTCTTTATTAATATTGTGTTAAGAGTTAAATAAAGTTCTATTTGTGATGATAACATGTCAGATATTAGGATACATAGCAAAATGCAATCAAACAGCCTTTCAAATCATAGGAAGTTCAGCACTAGCTCATCATAATAATACTGTTAAAAACAATAATAATATGAGTCTTGTAGATGAGTGATCCAGGCCATCACAGGAAGGGTTAGCTGGGCTCAGGTTGAGTGCGGGAGCAGAGCTAGAAGTCTCTCTCTCTCTCTCTCCCTCCCTCTCTCTTTCTCCCTCTCTCTCTCACCCCCATCTCTCCCTCTCCCCCCTCTCACTATCTTAACCCCCTATCTCTCTACCCCCCCCTCTCTCTCTCCCCCTCTCTCTTTCTCCCTCTCTCTCTCTCTCTCTCTCTCTCTCTCACCCCCATCTCTCTCACTCCACCCCCCCCCCTCTCTCATTATCTTAACCCCCCCTCTCCCCACCCCCCCTCTCCGTTTCACTCCCCCCCTTCTCTCTCCCCCTCTTTTTCTTCCCCCCCTGTCTCCCCCCCCCCTTTTTCTCCCCCCCCCCTATTTCTCCATCTCCATCTCTCTCCCCCCCCCCCCCCTCCTCTCTCTCTCTCTCCTCCCCTCCCTTTCTCTCTCCCTCTATATCCCTCTCTCTCTCCCATGTTCTATGTGGTGGGGAACATTCCCGGATTGTTTATGGATGTGCGGAGGTATCTGTGTCTGATTACTGGAAGGGAAATGAAGACATTACTGTTTGTCCCAGAAGATGCGAAGATGCTGTCTTTCCATTCCCAGAAAATAAACATCATTAGAAAGCAATATTAATTTCATGGGTAGGATATCCAGTGTTAGGGAGAGAAAATGACAATATTTTATGTGAGCTGGACTATCTATCTATCTATCTATCTATCTATCTATCTATCTATCTATCTATATCTATCTATCCACCCACCGACCCGGCTATCTATTCTATATAATATCCTCAGAATTGCAATTATGTTGCATGATAATACTACTAATAAAACTGTGCAGCAATTATTAACAATGACAACCAGCCACTGAATTGTTTGAATAA